CCCTCAAGTTATCAGGAAGGGTTTGCAGTGTGTGGACACACCGTGCCGTGGTGGGGAGGGCGATGGATGCTGAGCTGCCCTTTTTCAAGGAGGCAAGGGACAAGAGCTGACATTTTACTGGTTTATAACAAGGCTGGGTTGGACGGGGCTCGGAGCAACCTGCTCTAGGGGAAGGTGTCCCTGCCTGTGGCAGGGTTTGGAACGAGATGAGCTTGAAGGTCCTTCCAACCTCAACTGTTCTATCGATTCTATGACAACAGGTATAGCAGAAAACATTTAGGACATTTGTTTGCTGTTGCTGGTTGTGTGGTTTTTCTCTAGATAGCCCCTGATATCACATGAAATGATTGTGGCTTCCAGTAATGTCTCCGTTCTGAGCACTGTCATGAAGAGGAATGAAGAAGTAACTCACTCCAGCAAGGAAACACGTCGAGGTCTGCTTGGTTATACTGAGCTTAGAGAAACCAAGAGTACTTCAGCCCCGAGCGCAGGGTCGGCTCTCACAACAAGCTGGGAGGAGCCAATACCCCTCTGCTTCCCAGGCTGCAGTGTTTCGGGCGTCCCTGCAAAATGATGCTCTTGGTGGTGTTCCTTAGTGCAGATCTGAAGTCTGTCCTCCTCTCTGAGCCTTCAGACCCCGTCACAAGGAGATGGGCATTGTGGAAGGGGTGAGAGCACAAGGCTATCGATCAATCATCCTTAAGGAGCCAGGAGAACTGAGACAGTGGTCTCAGAGTTCTGGGGAGGAAACTGTCACTCAGAGAGCCTGAGAATTAAAAGTGATTGATGGGTATGAAACTGGAAAGAACAGGTTAACTTAGCACTGAGGGCGAGCAGGCACCAAAATGACACAGAAAAAGACAAATAAATCCTTTGATGCTCGAGACCTTAAAGCGAGTATCCTGAAAGAGGACCTGGTGCAGAAAGAGGGTGTTCCCCCTGCAGAAACCTCAATGGGAACCAGGGAAGAGCTTTGGCCGGCTGGAGGCACTGACCTCCTTCCTTGCCCTGCAGCCCAAGCAGGTGGGTGCAAGGCCCAAAGGCTAGGGCAGGGCTGTGACATGCAGGGATCCCTAGGATGCAGTGCTGTAAAAAATGCCTACACTGTTGTCCCAAGTGTTAAAAGGGCGACATCTTCCTTTCTCCTGGTTCTGCAGGGTTGCCTTCTAATGTGCCTGGGTTTTCTTTTCAGTACAGGAGTAGAAAAATCACGGTCTCAAAGGAATTTCAGGCCCACCACAAGGCTTCAGAGGAAAACCTCTCCAAGGAGCCTCCTCAGTCTGTCCTCTCCTCCAGTGTCCTAGCAGGACTTCACATCATGAACTGTTTGACTGCTGGTTTCTAATATATGATATATTATATATTATATATATGTAAACACCATATATTACATGGTATATATTATATATGTTATATATTATTATATAAAAAACATATTATACTAAATATGACATTATTGTATGATGTATTATAGATAAAACTATATAATAGAAATTATAATTATCAAATTAAATATCTATCTTTTATTATAAATAATATATTATTATAGTATCTATCATATATAATAATCTAATATCTCATATTTTATTGAGATTATATTATATATTATGCTATTATACATAATCAAAATAATGAAATTATGTATATATAATTATATGATATATTATGGATAATATTAGATAATATATGATATAATATATAGCATAAATATAATCTCATATTATATAATGTATATTTTATTATAATAAAAATAATACATAAAACCTTAAATATAATATATTAAATATTTATTATATACAAGAAATATTACAATATATATGATAAACTATAAACATATTATATATTATATGCATATTATATGTATAACAATATGTAATTATATTATTCATAGTAATTATAATGATATAGAATATATTTATAATTTCAATTAATGATATAATAATAATATATTATAATAATAAAATAACGGAAATAACGTAAGATGATATTATAATTTCAATTAAGATATAATTGTATCTTATCATTAGAATTATAATTATATTTTATAATATAAATATGTTATTATTTTTCTCTAATATAATTATATAAATAATTATAGTACTATGATAATATTTTATATAGAATTATATTGTATAGTATATATTAGTATACAAAATATAATTATATTATATAATAAATGAGGGAAATATATAATCTATAATGATATATTATAGATATTAGTAGATAATATATAATTATATGGTATATTATGATATATAGCATATACTATACAGTATATAATGAATAATGGTGGTATACAAGTCACCAATAACACTATGGCAATGACAGTGCAATGTGGTTTTGGGATGCAGGAGGTGTCTGTGATTCACACAAGGTGGCAGAGGCAGGCCAGTAACTCAAAAACGGTTTCTCTCATTTCTGGTCTACAAAGTAGTGAATACTTGGAAAGAGAATATAAAAGAATATAAGAAAATATAACCATAAGTGAAGGGAAGAGACTAAGAAAATGGAAGAGACTAAGAGAATATAGGAGAATATAAGAGAAAAGAGTATCAGGGACAGGAGGGGCAGAGAGACTGACAGGAAGGGAAGAGACTGTAAGAGAATATTAGAGAAGACAAGAGAAAAGAAATGTGCTCCTGGCCTGATAACATCTTTATTATTTCAGGACAACTATTTAATTTCATTACAAGCAGGAATCTTTAAATACATACAGTCTTGTCTGTCATGGAGCTTCAAACCTTTGCAGCAGCCTTCAAGCTGTGAGAGGCAGCTACACAAGCAAGCAGCTGAGCAGTGATCTCTCATAGCCACCCATCAGTGTTAGCTGTGCAGCGGCACTGATGCCACCCACAGAGTAGATAAGCTCTGGCAGCAGCCACCGAACGGGAGGGGATGCTGTTGTGTGCACGGAATGCAGAGGCGAATTCCCAAAGCGCCTGCTGGGTGTGCGCTAAGTAGCAGTTACAGGAGCTTTCCATTCACATCCCCAGTGGCCTTACCTCTTCCTCCCCTGCCCCTCTGCCATGCTTCACTGCAGTATCCAAGGAACTTGTCCCTGTATGCCTGGCTTCATGGGCACACTGCGTGCTGTGCAGCATGCATCTCCTGCAAGGCTGGGCTTCCTAGAGGCTGTGATCACCAGGGTGCAGCAGAGGCATCGGTACGGAGGGGTCTCTGGAAAGGTGCTGTTTGCCCGCACGCACTGCTCTGTAACGGTATGTTCTCGAAATCGGGGCATAAATACACATCTCTGTCCCTGCGAGTGGTACCCAGGGCTGCCAGGAAAGGGAGTCTGTGTAACAGGCTGTGTGTGTTCTGGTCTGTAAGCCCCCCCATCAGCTGTGGTACAGTAGAAGTGCTGTCACTGTAAAATGTTCAGCAGATGATACCCTTTAGTGATCTAGAAACCTGCACTACTGCTGCAGGCCTGGCAGGCTAGGAAAGGCAGATAAATCTGGGGCTATGCACATGAAAGCCCTACATCCTGCTGTGGTTCAAGCGTCATTTTTCTTATAGGTAAATGGAAGAGCAGCCTCAGACCTCCTGCTGGGCTCAGGGGTCCATCAGCTGCACCAGAGAAGCGTTTCTTTCAAGATGTGATGCTTGCTACGCTGATAAATGACCAGTTCAAATAGGTTGAAATGAAAGTGAATGTCCCCGGAGCTGGTTCCCCAGAAGTGCAATGAAATGTTTCAGCTGGTCAGGTACTAAGAGTGAACAGGCAGTGAGACAATTCCCCATCAGCTGTGTTGCACGCTGATCTTCAGTACCAATTAAATAACCCACTACCGAGCCCTTCAGGGCCTGCAGCTCTCCTTTAACCCTTCTATTTCTGTCAATGCAGAGTACAAGAAGTGAGGCTCTTTGCCACCCATGTGAGATGCCAAGGCCTTGGTTCAGTTGCCAGTCTGAAGCCTGTGCTCAAAGAGGAGTGCAGGCTGCAGCCCTGTCACCGGCCCCATCGTGGCCATCTCCAGCTCCATCCCTGCCCCGAGCACCCAACCCATCTCAAGAGGCCATTTTGGTGCAGCAGAGGGTTGAGGAGGGTTGAGGAGATTTTGTTCAGCCTAGAGAGAGTCTACACTCTGTGCCAAGGTGCTTGGTGCGCCCACCTCCCTGCCCAGCGCTGTGCAAGCACAACCCAACCAGCACTCAGCTGGAGGGCCCTGCCCGGGATGGTCTAATACCAGATATCACATCTTCCAGCTTGCTTAGCTTAGGTTTCAGCACAGCATTTCAGATCCACAGCTGCTGAGCATCACTACCCACAGCAACCAGGTACCTGATGCTCCTCTGCCTCCCTCCAGCCACAGCAGGACCCTGAGCAGCAGTTGACAGAGAACAAGAGAACGAAGCTGTAGGTTTAGGGCCACAGAATCAGCAGCGGGTGTCAGCAGAGGCAGGACATGTGGGGGCTGTGCAGCCACGTGAACAGGAGCTCCACGTTTGCAAGGCAGCCCAAAGGCTCAGAAACCTGCCCAGTTAGAGCCAGAGCACGAGCACATCCCCCAAGCGACATCTGCTATGCCCTTGCAGGCCTTCACACCACTCTTCTGTCTCCCAAGCCAGGAGACCTGGTACAAGAGCTTTTGCTCATGGATTGTGCTGGGCTTTGGTTGCTGCAATCCCTGCCTAGTTCATAACCAGGCTAAGGGTAATCTTGCCTCATTTGCACAGCCTGGCTTAAGGAATCCCATTCTCACAGGATGCCCTCACTATCTATGGGGTTTCTTCTCACTGCTATTCCACCCCTCCATTCAAGATACCACTATTTAATAAAGACTGTCTGCCATGTCCTATTGGAGATATTTACTCCTAAACTGAGGAAACATAAACAAAGCTTGACAAAGGATGCATCCCAATTAGAGGCTGACTGAGAAGGCCAGCTTTGTAGACGCAAATTCACATTTGTGATGGGCAAAATACATGTTTACTTAAACACCCTTTTTTTCATAGGATATGCATCTGTTAAGGGGGAGGAGGAAAGTGTTACCATGTCTTTTGCTGTTTCAGGTCTCAGAACATCACACAACTTCCGCACAACAGGACAATGAATGTGTCCAGCAACTGCAGTATCACAAGTCTAGAACTTTATCACCATGTCCGCCTCACTGAACTTGCTCTGTATAGCGTCATTTTCTTGTTTGGAGCTCTGTTTAATGCCCTTGCCCTCTGGGTGTTCTTCTGCAAGATAAAGAAGTGGACACAAACAAGGGTGTATGTAATCAACTTAGTCTTTGCAGACTGCACCTTACTTTTCATGGCTTACTTGCTCTGGAATAAGTCAACCCAAGACGAACTCTGCCAGTTTATAGAGACAACATATTTCATCATCATGTTAGTGAGTATCTATGTAATTACATTTGTCTCCATTGACCGATACATTGCCATAAAACACCCCTTGAAAGCCAGGACCTTCAGGTCTCCATCAAAGGCAGCCCTTCTCTGCGGTCTTCTGTGGGTCTCTGTGGTAGTCGGTGCCACTGCACAGATCTGGCAGAGCCAATCCACCCTCTGCTTCCAGAAGGATACCACCGTGCCTGCTGCTCTGAGCCTGCTTTCCATCTTCTTCGTTTTTATTCTTCCATTGGCAATCTTGACTTTTTGCTCCACAGAAGTGATCAGGAGCCTCAAGAGAGGCCTGAACACCAGTTCACCAGAGGAGAAATCAATCCAGAAAGCTGTTCACATTATTTACGCAAACCTGATGGTGTTTCTAGTATGTTTTCTGCCAGCCTTCTTTGGGTTACTTGCCAGGTTCGTAATGGATAGCATTGGAGCTACCTGTTTCATGCTCCAGGTTATGAAGAACATCTCCTCCCTGACAAGGTGTATTGCCACATCTAACTGCTGCCTGGATAGTGTCTGCTACTACTTTGCGACCAAGGAGTTCCATGAAGCCCTTCTACCACCCAAAACCAGCAGTGATAAAACAGATCAAATCCACCCCTTGCAGACACACACTTGCTAAAGGAAAGCAAGGAGTGGAAGGAGGGAGGCAAGAGGGATGAAAAACAGCAAACCCAAAACAATGAAACCCAGTGTCTCTGCAACATCAAGAGAAGACACATCCTCAGTGTTATTGGGATAACTGTTGCCCTTTCTCTCTGAAGAGATCATAGAACCATAGAACAGTTTGTGCTGGAAGGGACCCTCAAAGCTCATCTAGTTCCACTCTGTTGCAATGAGCAGGGACACCTTCAACTAGATCAGGTTGTCCAGAACCACATCCAGACTGGCCTGGAATGCCTCCAGGGATGGCACAAGGTCTTTGTTAGGTTTAGCATTACTAAGTGAATTGTAAATTACACCCTATGTTTCTATTAATTTCACAAAGCTGTGTGAAAGTGTGTATGTAATCTCTGGTCATTAACAAGTCTCCATTCCACCCTCCAGTTACTCTTATGAGAATACAAGTGAACCATGTATGTCTCCCTGGGTTTGTTTTTTTTAATATCTAAAGTCTATTGATCCTTATTGTCAATACATACAAAAAGAATATATCGTGTTTTACCTCATTGTGTATTTCAGGCTGTTTGCATTATTAAATTAATCCAGTTTATTTATTTCATATTGCTTTGGTGGGGAAGGGGGAGGCTTCAGGCAGTAACAGCACCTTACTAAGCAAATGATCCGACAAAACACCCTAGACTCTGTTAACTGCCCCTCGTCTTCAAGTCAATGCATCAGATAGATGTGAAGGATGTGTCCTCAACATAAAAGGGACATGGAACTGTTGGAACAAGTCCAGAGGATGCCACGAGGATGATCAGGGGCTGGAGCACCTCCCATATGGAGACAGGCTGAGAAAGTTGGGGCTTGAACACCGCCAGGGATGGAGCATTCACAACCGCCCTGGGCAACCCATTCCAGTGCCTCACCACCCTTATAGTAAAGAACTTCTTCCTTATATCCAATCTAAACTTCCCCTGTTTAAGTTTTAACCCATTACCCCTTGTCCTATCACTACAGTCCCTAATGAAGAGTCCCTCTCCAGCATCCCCATAGGTCCCCTTCAGATACTGGAAGGCTGCTATGAGGTCTCCACACAGCCTTCTCTTCTGCAGGCTGAACAGCCCCAACTTTCCCAGCCTGTCTTCATACGGGAGGTGCTCCAGTCCCCTGATCGTCCTTGTGGCCTCTTCTGGACTTGTTCCAACAGTTCTATGTCCTTTTTATGTTGAGGACACCAGAACTGTACACAATACTCCAGGTGAGGTTGAGATTAGACTTGCGCTCACAAGTCTCTCTTTCTTCTATCTTTGGACACCTTGGACTAGATCTGCTAGGGCTGGTGGTACTTAATGCCGAGTAATTCCTCCCCAGCATCCTGCAGAGAGAGTGGGTTCATGGAAGCATGACATAAGCCAGCTCGTGCCCAGACAGCCAAGTAGGCCAACAGCATCCTGGCCGGTATCAGCAATAGTGTGGCAGCAGGGTCAGGGCAGTGATCATCCCCCTGTACTGGGCACTGGTGAGGCCACACCTCGAATCTTGTGTTCAGTGCTGATGAGCTGATCTGCAGTGCAAGGGCAGGAGCTCCAGAGCCATGAGAGTGGGGCACTGCAGCAGGCTCCAGTACAGACAACCTGTCCCCAAGCTTGGTCTCATGCCTGCCCCCTTGTCTTGCAGAGACAACCCAACATGGAGAACTGCACTGAAGACTACGACATGCAGAATGGCATTGTGCTGTTTCAGTTTACAGTCTACATCCCAGCATTGCGCCGTTTCAATTTACAGTCTACATCCCAGTGCTCTCTTTGGGGATCCCACTGAACGCGACTGCCTTCTGGGTCTTCTGATGCAAACTCAAGAGGTGGACCAAGACCAGGGTGTACATCATCAACCTCATAGTCGCAGACAGTTTCCTGCTGTTTGCCCTGCCTTTCTTGATATATTTTACCACATATGAGCATCCCATAGACAACCTGTGTTTCACCATACAAACGATCTACTTTACAAACATGCCTATGAGCATCCTGATCATCACCCTGATAGCGATCGATCGATACATTGCAATCAAGTTCCCTCTAAAAGCAAAGATTCTTCGATCCCCACTGAAATCAGCATCCATCTGTGGGGCTCTTTGGATAATACTAATGATTTATTCCTACTTGTGTCCACAATTTCATAACAAAAAGGAAAAATTCTGCTTTTGGAAACAATCTACTCAACCTAGTTATACATTGTTAGTGTCCGTCATCTTTGGCTATTTTATCCCCTTAGTGATTGTGACTTTTTGTTCAGTACAAGTCATCAGATGTCTCAAGAAGAAGATGGTCACGAGTCCTCATGAGACAAAATTAATCCAGAAAGCAATCCACATTATTTCTCTGAATCTGTGCGTGTTCACTGTATGTTTTGCACCCTTCTACATTGCCCTGCTCTCGCGGTTTGCAGTGGATGTCGCTGGAGCTTGTTCTCTGCTCTCAGAAGTTAGTGCCTGTGTTCACATCTGTGCATGCTTAGCAAACTCTAACTGCTGTTTGGATGCATTTTGTTATTACTTTGCAGCTAAGGAATTCCAAGAATTTCCTTCTCTGTTCCCCACTTGCCTATCGATGAGGTGCAAGGTGAACCAAAGCCAAGAATCCCAGTCACCCACAGATCAAGTCATGACATAAACAAGGTGTAGCACACTACAGGTATTAAGAGCCACAGGGCTGCTGAAGTTTTGAGGCAGAGGGAATAGGACCATCTACAGTATTTGCAATCATTGTAGCTACAGGCATAGCTGCAAAAAGGGGCAATCCCTTCCAAGGGGTCTGATATTAACTTGAATTTTGTCCTTCTGTCCTCAGTGACTTGACTCCAGCCTTGACCATAGTCTTAGACCACTGTATTGCAGCTTCAAGAGGGAGAGCATATGGGATGGAGAATAGATGACAAGGCCACTGTTTCCACCATGCACTTATCTGTACATAACATGCAATTAAACATAGGAAACAGCACCCATACAGCAATACACAAATCCACTTCTGGTACTGTTATACAGATGGTCACTTAAAACCAAGAAAAAAAAAACCCATGCACTACAATGCTGAACCTAATACATCTGTGCTGCTCACACCAAACCATACACCGGTAGTTCCCTGACAGCCTGTATGATTTCAAAGCTTGCAGCTATCACCAGGACACAGCTATTGCTGTGTATGGAGTAAAGACAGTGGCCTGAGACTATTGCCCCATTCCTGCCCTTTAACACTTGTATCAGCTTGTGGCAAACACCCTGGTGTTTGTGAGACTAAAATCATTGCGGGTATAAATAAAGCCATTACTGCATGGAAAAACAGAGCCCCACAAAGCACTGTAGACCCCAGAACAGAACTTTTGCGTTGTGCCTATCAGGTATAAATCTGTGAAGTGATCTCACCCAAGCAACTGCTGTAAGTCCTGGTGACAGGTTTGCTGTACTTCAGTGGGATCAACTCCTCAGTAGGTATCCTGACTGGTGAGAAGGGATCGCATCTGCTCAAGTTGCCACAGCCTCATGCTGCATGAATGTCGATGCTCAGAAAACAGCAGTGAGCAACATGAAGCAGATGCAGCCATGATCCCTGCCTTACAATCCATACACAGTTTTCAGGGGAGGTTTGATGAGAGTGAGGTGTGTGAGGCCTTTCTGTACAGATAGCTCAGACCCACAGCTGAGGGCTTCTTGGCACTGCCATGTGTGATGAAGCATTGCTTTGGATTTCGTGCTTTTTCTCTTTCAGCTGCTTGGAGAGCGGACAGCAGGGGTTCAACAGCTTTCCCACACTTCATTTTGAGACATTTAACCCTGAAGGTGTCCCTGCTCATGGCAGGAAGGTTGGAAATAGATGATCTTTAAGATCCCTTCCAACCCAAACCATTCTATGATTATACAGAGAACCTTAAGCTTTCCTAGCTGGGTCCTGGACCATGCATCAACGTAAATGTCTGGCTTTCCAGCTACAAATCTCCTCTACAAATCTCTACAAACCTGCCCTTGCTGACTATGCACTGCGTACCCTCCCACCCCACAGGGAAGTGACAACAGAGCAGCTCAAAACACTTAAACCACAAATGGAAATCTTGGCCCACTAGAAGGAAGTGCCCCATAGAGTCAGCATGGGAAACATTATAGAGTTGTTGAAATGCATGTGATAGCTGTATTGCCTTTGGCTTCATGGCCCTTGACTCTGAGCGTCTTCTGTCTTGTAAATACCTAAACCTTCCTCCAGGGAATGCAAATCCATATTCTGCTCATTTAAACCTACAGACAACTAACTTTCTTGGTGACAACTTACAAATAGTTTCCCTAAAAGTGTCCTGTCATCTTCAAGTGTCTGCAGACCACATGCTGAAACCGCTGTCTAGACACCAGCCAAACAACATATGAAACAATTACTCCCATCACAGAAAATTCTCCTCATCCAAAGATTAGATCCAACTTTTTGTGCCAATACCTTGGCACAGGTCCCTGCGTGATGGAAACTCAGCATAAAAATGGATGAAACCATTCAGGTCAGTCAGTTGATCATTTATGTACCAATTTTCTTTGATGTATTATTTAATGCTCTGACATTGATGGTCTTTCACTGCAAGCGGAGCACATGTGACCAACTTAATCACATCACACACTGCTTGGCCCTCATTCTGCCTTTTAAAGTCTCTTTTCAAAGAGAGCAAAAGAAACCAGACACAAATTGTGCCTGAACTGAAGAATCATCTGGTGCTTAAGGAGATGCGCGAGCGTTGTCACCCTTGTAGCTGTCAGCAAATACACTGCTATTGACTATCCTTAGAGAGAAAGGGGCTTAGGGTTCCTGTTAGCCCATTCTCCTTTATGGTGTGCTGTCAATGCCCATGACAGGCATCACTTACGTGTCCAGGCAAGAGGTGTTCAGCAAGGAAGACATCTTCTGTATTCAGAAATAGCTCAGAGGGCCTTCAAAAACAGTCTTTCCTGTAGGATCCCAGTCGGGCTTCTGCATCTCATTGGTTATAATGAGTGCCTGTTCCAAACAGATTATTATGAAAATGTTAATTACTTCGAAGAGAGATGAAGGCTGAGCCATATCAGCCTGTTACCCTACTGTTAACCCAGAAAGCAAACTACATACTTGTTCTCCAGACCCTGCCATGTTCATGCTTTCTGCCTGTTGCCATGGGGCACCTTGCCCAATTTCCAGTGAGCTCCAATGAAGTTGCCTACTCTGAAATACAAAACAGCAGCGCTTTTGGTCCTGTGGCCTCATGGATAGGCCTCGCAGGATGGCAAATAAAAGCTGCTGTTGAGATCCCATTTGCTACTGCTTTATAACCAAAGAATTTCAGAGCAATTTCTTCCCCAAGCACAGAGTTTTCAAATCCAGGAAGGATCACAGACAAGGCGCTCTATTAAAGAAACTAAACAGCTTCCATAGAGTACCCCAGCCCGCAGCTAAGCACCACACACCTGCCCGCTTACTCCTGTTGATGCCAAAACCAGTTCAAATGTGCTAAAGCATTTATAGCTGGCATTCCTACACATAGCCAAGCTTGCTGCATACAGAGCTGTATGAAGTGAGGGGTTTTCTCTTGTAGGAAGCAAACTGAGGCCTCCACTGTTCATGTTCTAAATTAAAAAAAAAAAAAAAATCAAATCAGGTGTTTCTTTTCCTCATTGTAAAATAGAAATTGTTGACTTCACAATCCCAGTCATCATGAAGGAACAGTTTTTATTGTTTGCACTGACTGTCAGGAAAACAGAAAAAGAAGCATTTTTTTTGCAAGTGATAATGAAGCTATTTCATAGTATTAGATCTATAAATAAATATTCATTCACCACCATTATACCTCAGAGTCCTCTATTATTAACGCTGAACTTATACCAGAGATTGTGAAAAGAGACTTAGCTAACATGATATAAAAGCTGCCTTACAACAGGCTACTTCCAGTGCAACCCTAAGATGAGCAAGGAACTTTCTGATTACCTGAAGAGGCAGATACTGCCTGGGACAAACATTAGCATCTGCTTTACATGTCAAGTTAGAATTATGTTAATGGTGGGTTTCCGACCCCTGTCTTCAGTCAGAACAAAACCTCAGCTCCATGAACGCTCCCAGTAAGTGAAACAGCACCTTTGCCACAACAAGCCATGGAACCTGGCCCGCAACAAACTAGCGGCCATCACACAGCACTGGAATAGTTAACACTGCTATCCACACAGCACTGGAATAGGTAACACTGCTATCCACACATCTTTCTGATTTCCTTGCACAGAAGCCTGGCTCACAACAGTAGGAGGCAGCAGCCACAGTCCATCAGAGCTCCAACAAGCAGAGTTGGACCACTGCATTCTGCTGATGTTCCAGCAAGATAGAATCTCTCTGTCCCTGAAAAGGAAAAGATGATGACAAAGGCTTAGACTTTAAATGAGGAAATTGATGCTGCAGCACAAATTTAGGCTGTGGAAAGCAGGGGAGACACAAAAAAAAAGCAAAAATAACATGCAAGGAGAGTAATCCAGATTCTTGCTTCCATGTGAGCAGCCATCAGATTCAGTATTTTTGGCCCTTCTAAGCAGGGAAGGAGGCGCTGGCATGAGGCATAACTTCACTGTGCTGATGCTATGGGAATATGGAGAGGCTATAATACAGAGAGCCCTGCAAGGCAGACTAGGCCAAGGTCTTCCCTCACAGAAAAAGGAGGCAGGAAGCCCATCAAACCTATTAGCAAACCATACCAGGAGCAGAGGAAAACCTCACGAGAAGGGCTTTCTTTGACTGAGAAACAACCTCAAGCAGAACATCAGGCAGAGCTTACAAGGGAAGGAAAAATGACTGTACAAAACAGAGTTAAATCTTAGAGATTGGACCAATGCGCATCATTGGTCCAAGGCAGAGGTGATAAAACCTGCAACTGGATGGAAGGGGACCATCAGCAGCTGCAAGAGCCTAGAGGGCAGCTGGTACGGAGCTGAGGTGGAGAAAAGCAAAGCATGACTATCCTGACCCAGTGGTGTCTAGGAATCATACAGAGACCCAAGAGCCACACCAGGAGACACACAAGGTCTCTGCAGGTAACACCTCATCATAGCTTTGCCTACTGGTAGCTGGTGTTGAGTTGCTCTGACATATCCTGGTGAACCTGATGATCACAGCCACCTGTTTTGTGCCTGGTAACATGATTTGTCCCTCCCTTGAAGCCTCACCAGGCTGATGGGAGACACAGCTGCCCTTGTCTGCTGACCACAGCACCAAGCTGTGGATGGGAAACACCACACCAAAGGGATGTTATGAGCTGAGCTCCCTTCAAGCTTGATTTTGACTGCTCATGGTTAATACTGCCAGTGATTACCTTGATACAGACAATAAGAATATATGGACAACATCTGAGGATGATGTAAAGTGAAGTGTTTCATGTACAGTGGTGAAACTATCAGAACCCAGGAGCTGGGTGACTTTGAAAACTGAAGTACTAACAAGGACCATGACATGAAAATGATGGCGGTTGGCGATCAACGAGCTGGGTGTACTAAGTCAGTAACTAATTTATAAGCTTCCACCAAGAAGTAGCCTAAGAAAGGCAAAATCAGTCCCTGGAAACTCAAGAGAAGCATTTAAACCAAGCTCTATACTGAGCATACTCTAGTAACAAGGAATTAATCTCAAAGGCTGCTTTGTAATGCACAGACAGACAATGCAGAAACACTTCTGACGCTGCTTTAAGACAACCTGGAGGCTAGCCAAGAGCTGCAGATGCACATAAATGTTGCAGCGCTGTCCTATGGTTTGTTTGCTCAGGCTGCTTTCCAGCCTCAGGAGCCTGAACCCATGGAGCCATGTTCCCCTTACATGGAAAAACCAAAGACACCTCAGACCTCCTAGGTCTTTTGTGCCCATGAACAATTGCACCTGGAATATACTCCTGCATTAACTCCTTTGAAACATCCTGTCAGCAATACTGACCTTAGATCCAGGGTGATAAACTCATCCACTAGACCAGACACAGCTCACCTCTTTATTTCACATGGCTGCTGATCACATTTTCTGCCATGGCATTGGTGAGCCTGGAACTGTGGCAGAAGCTGTAACACTTCCGAGATGCAAACCAGCTTTCACAATCCTTGAAAGGCAGTATGCAGACCCCTAAATGCTACCACCAAGGACATCATTCAGTGGCAGCTAAAATTAGTAAGAGATATACCAATGACTGCTCTGATCACTAATGAGAAATGATGCAGAGACACCTCAGGAATGAAGAAGAGGACAGCTGTCCTTTTGGTGCTCATCTCCAAAAGGATTTTGAGCTGTAAGGATGCTGGCGGGCTTCTCCTGAGCACCACCATAAGGGGAAGGGATAAGAGCTGGGTTTAGGCATCCCTTTTCCATTATCACCTGGTTGTAACAGCTCACATAACTCCTAGGTGCAGGATCAGAGTCTGGCCCGAAACAGAGGCCCGAGCATTTTCCCCTGCTGTTGAGATTGCTCTGGAACCTCAAAAGGCCCGAGCTCTGCTCTGCTTCAGGGCTGCACAGAAAGTGTCAAACCACTAGAGGGAAACCGGACCTCAGCTCATCTCGACGGCAAACAAGGGGGATGGAGGAAGAAGGAAACACAAATTGGGGTTAAATGAAAGGGAGGGAGGAAAGAAACAGGAGTGAGGCAAACTAACCATGAGTGTCAGTTCTGGTACTTCTGAAATGCATTCAGCTCCACTGAGATAACTATCATTCGTGTTCTTACCTGGTCACTTCCATGGGGGCGGGATAGGAAGCAGGGACTGATTTAAACAAGAATGTCTTTTTTCAGTGGAATTCCCATTCAGCTGCAGAGGGCTCATAAGAACAATTCTCAGTCATGGAGATGCTGCAAGGGCTGGAGCAGCTCTGCTCTGGAGCCAGGCTGAGAGAGTGGGCAGGGTCACCCTGGAGAAGGTTCCTTAAGGAGAAACCTTAGAGCAGCTCCAGCACCTAA